GACACAAATAAACTTCATCACATTAAGCCTCTCTTAGGAGACTGGACGAACTCCTATAGAACTAACAGGAGAGATGAAGTTGTTTTGTGTCACTCTCGCATTGGTCATACTTTTTTAACTCATATTTTCATTTTAAAGCGAGAGCCTCAACCAGAATGTGAACACTTTCATGTTCCTTTGACAGTTAAGCACATTTTGATTGAGTGCAAGCATTTCAAGGATATTAGATCGAATTTTTACTGTTGTCAGTCACTACATCACATGTTTGCCCAACCGGGTTTATATGGTAAAGTGTTAGACTTTTTAAAGGAGACAGGTTTTTATAATAAATTTTAATTGTATATATATATATATCATTTCATTTTTGTATTTAATATTTATATGCATAAAAGTTGTATTTTAATTTTATTAACTGTGATATTGTTTTTATTTATGCATATAATGTTTTTCTGTGATATAGTTTAGCCGGTCTTGTAATTTTCACCATATGTTTGGCGCAATATAGCCCGGTTGGAGCTGACGTGCCATAAAACCACATTTCATTTCATTTCATTTCGTGTTGTTGGGCAAACTCTAGACGTTCACGTCGATGGTGAGGATCAGTCCACGGTAAGGTCTACGGCAATGGATGTTCTCTCTGGTGAGACGTAAGCGCACTATATTGGTACTGATGGGTCTTCTGTGTGTTCACACTGTCTGATGTGCTGTCTCAGATGCCTGTGTGAAGGTATTCTGGACATGCTGTCGCACAACATGGCAGTCATGAGACGAAGAAGAAGATTGATTTTCAGCGATTTCCGATAATTACTGCCAGAGTATGGACCTTGATCACTTCAAGAAATCTTATGGACGCTCTAGAGGCCAAAGTTAATATCCGATTGACTTTAAATTTATACACAGTGTTTAAGGTCATGAGACGAAGAATCTTATTGATTTTCAGCGATTTCCGATAATTACTGCCAGAGTTATGGACCATGATCACTTCAAGAAATCTTGTGGACACTCTAGAGGCCAAAGTTAATATCGGATTGACTTTAAATTTATACAGTGTTTAAGGTCATGGGACGAAGAATCCTATTGATTTTCAGCGATTTCCGATAATTACTGCCAGAGTTATGGACCATGATCACTTCAAGAAATCTTGTGGACACTCTAGAGGTCAAAGTTAATATCGGATTGACTTTAAATTTATACAGTGTTTAAGGTCATAAGACAGAGAATCCTATTGATTTTCAACGATTTCCTATAATTACTGCCAAAGTTATGGCCCTCGATCACTTTGTGACGCTCTAAAAGCTAAAGTTATCATCCGATTGACTTCAAATTGATACACACACAGAGTTTAAGGTCTTGAGACGAACAAGTATATTGATTTTCAATGAATTTTTATGACTTGACCAGCTAAATCCATGATATTAAAAGTTTTGTATACAAAACGTTAGCATGGGGCAGAACTTTATAAAAACAAAACAAATTCTAATGGTTTTCTAATAATTACTTCATGAGTTGTTGCTCTTAATAAGATTTTAGTGTATTATAAATCGTTCATTACCGAAAAAAGTAAAAATATGCGACAATTCTTGTTGACTGACCGGAGGATTTAGCTGTCCTGGGCGTATGTTTCGTTGCCTGGCAACCTATCTTTATCCAATTTAAAAAAACGTTTGGATATATCACCGTAACACACTAATGATCGTTGAGTTTTAATTTCGTGAAAATCGGACCAAAATTGACGGACAAAATGGCCGTCCCTCGTACGCTAATAGTGTAAAAATATGGTATTTCAAGGTTGTGTACTCTCTAGAGGTTACAATTTTCACCCAATTTTGATGAAACTTGAAATGCAAGTTTATCATCCAAAGATCTTGGTTGCTTTCAATATTCGCGCATAAAAATTGTGAACTCTATAGGGTCCACAAGCTAAAAACGTGATTTTTCCTACAATCAGGGGCCATAATCCATGAAGTTATGGTCCGATACATGCCAATATCGAAAGGAACCAAGATCTTATGGAGATAAACCTATATTTCAAGTTTCGGTCAAACCGGATAAGAATTGTGACCTGTAGAGTGTCCATAAATAATTGTGGACGTCCGGATGGACAGGAATGACGACAATATACGTCCACATGGAAATATGGGCGTATAAAAATCGCGTTTTTAGCTTGTGGACCCTATAGAGGTTATAATTTTTATCTGATTTCAAAAACTGTTTGAATATATCATCGTTACACCCTAAGGATGGTTGAATTCGAATTTAGGAAAAAAAAGGACCAAAACTGACAGACCAAATGGCCGCCCCTCGTACTCAAATAGCGTAAAAATAAGGTATATGAATGTCACAATTTTCTTCTGATTTTGATGAAACTTGAAATATAAGTTTATAACCCAATGATCTTGGTTCCTTTCGATATTCGTGCATATCGGATTGTAACTTCCTGATTGTACTAAAAATCGCTTTTTGTTTAGCTTGTTCTCTATCCATCTCTTGCAATATGTGGGCGTAACCTGCCTGGCAGCCGCTAGTTATCTGATTTTGTTGAATTTTGAAATGTAAGTTCATAACCCAAAGATCTTGGTTCCTTTAGATATTCGCGCATATCGGACCGTAACTTCCTGAATTGTGGCCCCTGATTGTACGAAAAATCATGTTTTTTAGCTTGTGGACCCTATGGAGGTCACAATTTTCTTCCGATTAAATCAATTGTTTGAATATAGCACCGTTACACCTTAATGATGGTTGAGTTCGAATTTCGGGAAAATCGGACCAAAACTGATAGACAAAATGGCCGCCACTCGTATAACGCAAATGGTGTAAAATATGTGGTATATTAAGGTTGTAAACCCTCTAGAGGCCACAATTTTTTCCCGATTTTCATGCAACCTTAAATTTATGCTTATATCACAAAGGTTTTGGTTCCTTTCAATATTCGTGTATATCGGATCGTAACTTCCTGAATCATTTTGATGAAACTTGAAATGCAAGTTTATAACCCAAAGATCTTGGTTGCTTTCGATATTCGCGCATATCAGATCGTAATTTCCTGAATTATGTCCCCTGATTGTACAAAATATTGTCTTTTTACCTTGTGGTTCCTCAAGAGGTCACAATTATTGTTCTGTTTTAAAAAAACGTTACACCATATTGTTAGTCTAGTTCGAATTTCATGAAAATTGGACCAAAACTGCCAGACAAATTCGCCGCCCGTCTAAGCAAATAGTGTAAACATCTGGTATATCAAGGTTGTGGACCCACTAGAGCTCACAATTTTGATCTGATTTTGATGAAACTTGAAATGCATGTTTATAACCCAAAGATCTTGGTTGCTGTCGATATTTGCGCATATCGGATCATAACTTTCTGAATTATGGCCCCTGATTGTACGAACAATCCTGTTTTTAGCTTGTGGTCCCTCTAGAGGTCACAATTATTATCTGATTTACAAAAACATTCAAATATATCACCGTTACACCATAATGTTGGTTAAGTTTGATTTTCGTGAAAATGGGACGAAAACTGCCAGAAAAAATGCCTGCCCCTCTACGCAAATAGTGTAAACATCTGGTATATCAAGGTTGTGGACCCTTGTTCCTGTCAATATTCGCACATATCTGATCGTACCTTCCTGGATTATGGCCCTTGATGTTACGAAAAATCGCTTTTTGTTTAGCTTGTTCTCTATCCATCTCTTGAAAAAACCTGGGCGTATCCTGCCTGGCAGCCGCTGTTTGTTTTGATTTTCTATATGTCCAATGTAGATTTTAAGACTCACAATAAAAGTCTTCAGGACAGACAAAGATTAGATCATGTGACCAAGATAGATTGTGGCACAACTGCCCGGTCAAAAACTGCCTACTCCCACCAGATACTAAACCCTGTTATTATAATGATTACTAATCTATTCATCGGTCAGTTTACAAAATTTTATATGTCAAATTATGATCTGTCTTATAAGACTCTCACATCTACCTAATTTTGTTCTTCCAATGATATGTATCTAAACTACTTCAATAAAATGGCATTTTTGGTATATTTGACATGGAAATAAATTGTAAATTAAACTACATTAAATCTTTCATTTAGCATTTTGTGCTCCATTGTCAGAAATTATGCATTTTTGGTTTAAAAATCCATCCAATATTCTAAAATAAAAAAAAACTAACATGGATATTCCCGAATGATTTATACTAGTGCATTCTACTTCCAGTTACCTTTCTAACAATGTCAAATATCTAATTTTATGGTGATATATTTTCTTCTTGAGATGGTTTAAACACTACCATTCAGAGACCCAAAAATGAGTTGAAACGGTCTTCTGAGAAAGATGAGACAATCAAATTCTGCTCAGATTTTACAAATTAGTAAAATTTGTAAAATCTGTCTGCAATCAAACTTTTTGTGACTCAATATGTCTTTAATTGAGCTAGAATGTTCATACTTGGCGTACATGTTTACTATGTGAATGCCTTGATTGAGTTAGATGATGAGCCTTGTCCACTAAGATTATCAAAAAAACAACTTGATTTTAATCGAGTGAGAGTGTCGAAACTCAGCTCACAGACTCAGTACATCAGTATCTTGACTGAGTTCACTGATGATAAGTTTCTTTTGAGGCTAAGTCGCAATAAGAAATTTGGAACATGTTAACTTGAAGTAGAATGTTCAAACTTGCTGTAGATGTTTATTAGGTGAATATCTTGACCGAGTTAGATGAGTAACAGATAAGCAGAGATAAGCAATTTGATTGGTCAGTGCTTTAATTGATTCCAATTCTAATTAAAGGAGTGATGAAACTTGGTGTATAGTTTCACTGCTTCAAATCCTGGACTATGTTTGATCACAAATATTTTCTGATTAGGCTAAATAAAGACAAGCAGTTTGAATGCTGAATGTTTTACAAAATGATAAATGAAATGTGCAATTAATAAGTGTTATCTATTTCTTTCGGGATCGATGCAGGGGTTATCAATCTCACAGTTGGCTTGGTTTTTTTTTTGCAGTATTTTTATTCTATAAAAGATATATCTATTGGAGGGCAGTGTATATGTTATGGACATGCTAGACTATGTAGACCCAAAGATGGTAATCGTACAGTAAGTATATATCACATCACTTGCTTTATATGAAAAATGAAGTGAAAAATATGAAAATATTTAATACCTACATATATCTGTGTAGAGATACTTTCAACTAGACCTGTTGCAGCTATGGCAGGTGTCACGCCCCTGGCCTTGGACATGCCAGGAACGAAAAACAGAGAGTTCTTTATATCCAAAATAGAGTGTTCAAGAAGGGCTCAGTGAACTCAGTGACCCATCACCCATGTTATTATTTCTTGAAGCAAAGTCTATTACATAAAGTATAAAATGAAGTTTATTTGGTTAATAATAAAATGTCACCTTTACAAAACACTTGCTATTGATTTTGAGCCAGATCTCGTAGAATAAACATCTTTCACACGACTTTCTTCTATACTACTATAGGCCTACACATCTCAGGACAATATGAAGGAATACACGTAACTAACCGCCACTTGTCTTGTCGAAGGGCTAACCGCCAGCACCCAAGCTTGACTTCGACATAGTACGAACGAGTAAAGAAATCAGTGAACTACGCGTGCAATCTACTTATATCATAATTGACATTCTAGAAGAACAATGGAACAATGGGCTAACCGCCGCTAAACCAGCCTTACATCGCCATTTTGCGCGCTTTCTTCGTCTGCTTGATTACCGTCTGCTCAGACATATCCCAGCACCCCTTATGCATCGGAATTTCACAGGGACTTGTAGTTCAAATGACTGCATATGGGGGGTCACACATCCTCCCCACCAACTCAAATGATGTGCCTGTCATTTTAGAGAGTTGAAAACTATTTAATACATACATAATAATGCATAATTATTCTCAATTTTACCGTACATTAATATTACAATATTTATATTGGATATAAAGCATAACAGTTTAAGTCCACTTATACTCATACCTGTACATTCATACAATGAACTGGATGTATCAGTATAGGAATATGAAATAATCAATGTGTTCATTCAATAATATCAATAAATATCAAGATTTTAAACCAAACACTGCTTCTATTTCTTATAGCTTAAATCCTTGAAAATTATTGTGAAGATACTCACAAAACTCTTAATACAGCTCACTCACTTTGTGAATATAAAAAAAACACCTGTTTAATATTAATCTTAACTATAAAAGTACTAATGACAATAACATGAAAAATTTACACTAATAATTCAATTTAAGTTTATCATTAATGGGTGTATTGTCCACATTAAGAAGCATCTCCATATTCTTCAAAACCATCAAATCTCTTCTACAATCGTTGTCTATGAGAATGTCTAAATTTTGGTTCGACAGATTCTCCATAATTTCTGGTCTTTGATTTCGGACTAACCATAGTTTCAGATTCTACATTATTTTCACCACAATTGTCCATGTGAATGTCCGTGTTTCCACCTAATATTTCATTATAATTTTGACTCTCTTGCACAAAACCTAATAATTCATCTACCTCGTCTGATGAATTTATTGATTGTTCATATTCAGGAACAGAATTCTCACAATGTCTCCTCGAATTTCTAGATTTAACAGGTTTTGAAATATCCCTATTAAAGTCAACTTCTTGAGTTTATTATGATGAAATAACTTCACACCATTATCAGTTTGTACTTCATATAATACAGAATTATCTAAAGTTTTTAAGACTTTTCCTTTTGAGTCCCATGTTTGTCTCACAGGGTCTTTAATTAACATTTCATCACCAACACATAATTGTTCAAATTGTACATGTTTATTCCGTTCACTTTTATAACGATTATGAGTTTCAATTAAGTTTTGTTGTGCACACTCAACCGCTTTAGTTAGTTTCTTTTCTAAGTTCCTTGCATAGTCATTTACACTAATGGCTTTTGTGTCAGATAAAGACGGATACATCATCTCTGCAGGAAGCCTGCTTTCTCGCCCCCTGTGTAAAAAGTTAGGTGTAAACCCAGTACTACTATGAACAGTAGAGTTATGAGCTAAAGATAAAAAAAGGTAACATATCCACCCACTTAAATTTTGACTAGTATAAACCTTAAGCATACTCTTTAAAGTATTGTTCCAACGGTCGATGGCACCATTGCTCGAAGGTGAATAAGGAAGACTATGTACACCTTTAATGTGGAGAGAATTACACATTTCACGAAAAAACTCACTGGTAAAGTTACTACCCCTGTTCGATAATATGACTTTATACAAACAAACAAAGTATAGGTTACGATGCAATATTTATTAAACGTTCTACAACATCAATGATACGTTAAACATACAACTAAAACAACATACAAATTAAACATACTATACAACTATATATTAAAAAAAAAAAGATTTATTAAATTTGTCATTTTAGGGAGCTACTTGTTATTGAGACACATCTCCAGGTTACATTTTAATGCCCTGGGGATCTATCTCAATATGGGGCCGCAGCCTCCATGTGTTATTCTATTAAAGAAGGAAAATGGGGCTGCGGCCTCCATGTACTATACTATTAAAGAAGGAAAATGGGGCTGCGGCCTCCATGTAGCTGCTATTTTAAAGAAGGAAACTGGGGCTGCGGCCTCCATGTATAAGATTAAAGATATGGGGCTGCGGCATCCATATATAATGTACATGTCACCAGGATTGTTGATCCGTGGGAGCATGTATAAATATACATATATAAAAATGGATCTTTAACTTAATCATCTAATATTTTGTTGGAAAAAGTCCAAATCGAATAAAATATTTAAGAAAAGAAATATTGCAATGAGAGCCTCCCAAAAAAATATGTAAAAATAAAAGTTATACAAGTGCTCCCTTATGCCATCAAAAACATAAAACATTGATTAAAACTTGCAAGTGGACCCAGCATTATTGACATCCACTTATACACATAGATGTTTGGGCTTGTTGTAATGATTCTTTAGATGTTCTTATGTACCTAACATAACAATTTGACGACCATCTGCTTAATGTTTGAATCAAATGATCTTCTATGCCTGCTGCAGCAGCACTGGTTGGTGCTCCTATACGAAAAGAGTGCCCACAATACTTTGTACTATTGTATCCTATTACTTCTAACAGATGACGAACATTAGCAATAAATGTATCTCTTTTTAAAGCTTTGGTTGACATAAATTCATTAACAAATAGTGGGGATGATTCTAGGGCACCTTGATTGATTCTATATTTGTAATATTTACACATTGTCTCAACTTGGCACCTATTACTATTTCTAAAGATATGTATAGATACTCCTTGTCGAAACGGGTCTGTTTTAGAAGCCCTTAATTTAACTATATAGTGTGATTTATCTTTTGAAATATTATGTTGTACATGGTAGAACCTGATTTATTTGTGAACTCGCCACATCTCATAAAACCAAAAAAAGCCATTTGACATGCACATAACATCATAATATTTACGTAAGGAGAGAATACATTAATATCTAACAATTTGCATATCTGGACTAAGATTGTATAAGTTATTGGAAGTCTGTTATTAGATTGAACATGACCTTGAGATCTTTTGATCCCTTTCAATAGATAATCTAACTGTTCTGTACCTTTGAAAGGGTTACTTAAACCACGTATAATATAATGATACCTTATACCGGCTAGATATAACTTAATTGTTGCATATTTCAAACTCAGGTTTTTTGAACAATAAGACACAAAGTGAATTAAAATGTTCTCTGATATATTCGGTAACTCTCCGTTCACTATTATAAAGTTACACATCACCAAGAATCTCATGAGGTGCTGTAGGGCTGTTTCGTAAGTTCTTGCAGTTTGAGGGCTAACTGCCATACTTAGTAGCTTTTCAGAATGTTTCTTCAGATCTTCATCAATTCTGAAGGTGGAAGGATATTCACTGGCAATTGACTGGCCCTTGGAACCAAAGCTCTGAATTTCCTCATCTGAAATCGAGATAGGGCATCAGCTATAGTGTTTTCAACTCCAGGAATAAATTTAGCGTGAATCACAAAATTATATTTAGCGGAACACCAAGTTAATTTTCTCATCAAGTTCATAATAGAATTTATTTTTGATCTCCCTTTATTTATAACCTCTACTGTCCCTAAATTGTCACAATGGAACAGTATTCTGTGTGATTTCCAGTTCTCTCCCCATAAAACGCATGCCATAACTATTGGGTACAGTTTTCTAAAAGTCATGGAAATTTTTTCAGTAGCATCTGTATACAAATGCAAACTTGCGGACGTTGTTATATTGTCATTCAGGAAAAAAGATATCCCGTTCCAGTTTGACAAGACTTTGAACCACATTTTAAGATCTAGGCGACAGTTTGCATTGATTTTAACTTAATGGTGCAACTCTTTAACTGTTGTAGATAGTGAAATCAAATACGAAATGAATGATTTCCCTGGGGCTACCACTTTACATGCGAAATTAAGATGACCTAATAAACTAAGTAGCTCTCTTTTTGTACATGAAGTTCTGTCCATGAATGATTTAATAATGTCACATATCCTATGTACTTTCTCTAACGGAAGACTAGCAATCATGTCATTTGCATCTAGAATAATTCCTAAATATTCTAAACACTGTACTGGGCCTACTGTCTTGTGTTTTGCCACTGGTATGTTTAACGTGTTGAACATCAGGGAAAGCAATGCCATTTTGCGTTCTGCGTCGAAATTTGGATTGTCAACTGTTAAGAAATCATCTAACAGATGGAGAATATTGGCTATGTGATAAAATCATCTAACAGATGGAGAATATTGGCTATGTGATAAACGTTTTTTGCGATCCAACAAAGTGCTATTGATAAAGAGTCGAAAATCTTTGGACTTGATCTACTTCCAAATACCAGTCTTGTATAATAATAGTAGGCTACTGATTGTTCCATTTGACACAGTGATATGGCCACATAGACGGGTGCATAGGAATAAGTTTAAATGCGTCAGAAATGTCTGTTTTACACAACCAACTACCTTTACCATTGTTTTTGATAATGTTAATTGCATGATTTATCATGACATATTCTAGCGAAAATTGTTCCTTATTGATCAGGTTATTAATGCTTA